CTGAATCCACACCTTCTTCAGATTCAGAAGCATGAGAGTACCTCTAAATATTCAATACGCTTGTTAGTATCTCCATGTGAATGAAATTCTTTAGGGTATCTTCAACCTTGAATAAAAAAATCTTAAAAACTTGTTTCAACCCTTATTCAAACTTATACCAAAGTAAAAGAGACTCTTTTTTTACTCAAATTAAGGAAAACTCAAATATTTAATAGTGAGATTTCACACTCTTTTAAAGATCAAATAGTTATTTTACTCTCATTTAATTTTGAGTTTGCTCTCATTTAAATTTAAATTTCTCCTTGTTTAAATTGAAATTTGTCCATTTGAGCAATTTGTATTAAGTTTTATACTCAAATATTAACTTAAATTTAAGTCAGGTTGAAAATGCTCTTATCCGGAGGTTTTTTAGAATTTGCCAATCCCCTATCATCAATAAGGTTAGCACCATCACCCATTCTAATAGAATAATTGTGATTAATTAAGAAGGAAGACTCCGAAGTTAAATCAACAATGAGTTCAAATGGTCTTACACTCTTCCCATTTAGATTACCTGCTTTTGGATCTTCAATAGACAGCTCAGCTCACATGGAGTAAAACTCTGATCCCCTCTTTTCTCCAAGTTACCTTGATTTTCATTTGTTGAACCCTCCACTTCTTGAACCTTAGTTTGAACTTCTCTAACCACTAATCGATTCATAGGCAACTGCTCCATAATTGAGACGCCCCTTGCCCGAATTATCTCCGAGTGATCTCCTTTATACAAAATTGAACTGTTACTAACAAAGCCTTGATTTCCCTTAACAGATTGTTTCTGTACTTCTTCGTTCCCTCCTCTAATTTTAATACCCTTCTATTTAAATTATTTATTCTGAAATTTTCTCTATTGATCATTGGACATCCTTTTCCCTTTAAGATGTTGCTTTACATTCCTCTTTATCTCTTTTATAGCTTTTGTTTCTTTGACCTCTTTCTGGAAACCATCTTCATCGTTTTTTTCCTCCTACATTCTACCTCCTCATGTCTTTGCTTCAGAAAAGTGGAACAATATTTATTATTCTTCTCATATTGAATTTTCTGCCATCTCCCAATAGAAGCTCCCATATCTAACCAAATTCGAGTTGGACTCTCAGCAAGCAAATTAAATTCAACACTTGCCCTTGCCAAACCTAGTCTACTAAATTGAATGGAAGTATTATCAACCACTAATATTCTACCAACTGGACTAAGAATGTCCCTCAAAATCTCATGTTAAACAAATGAATTGGTAATCTTGGAAGAGAAATCCACATAGGCATCACTGGAGGTTCAACCCCTAGATAGAACTCTGGGAACCACTTAAAGAATTTGAAAAGAAAGCCTTCAATATAGGTAGCATCCTGCAAACATAATCCTCATGCAACTCGAATCTAATTTGGACGTGTCTTGGATCCAGAATACCAATTGTAAACTCCCCTTTATTGACCATCATGTACTAATGAATTCACGAATAACACCCAAAGATTTTGTTTTGTAGGCGCACTTGCCAATCAAGGTCTGTTGGAATAACTTAGAAATATTTTATGTCTCCTCAGGAGTCCAATAAATCCCAGGCTTCCCATTGTTATAAACCAACTTCTTCACAGGCCTAGCAGTAGAAGAACCCTCCTGCTTCATTGGATGCTGTGGATTTTTGGTATCAAGATCTTGATTGGGTTGATTGTAATAGAAGAATGATAATTAGATTGTGTTTTGAATAAGGATGCAAAACAAGATCTGGTGGTTTAGGAGGAATGAAACACTGATTTGGATCAGTAGATATAAGATCCCTAGAAAAGTTTAGAAGAACTGTGTAGATGAAACACTGATTAGGGCAAGTCTCGTCTTTCATCTATATAACTTGGTCCTTTCAACCGGATGTTATCCTGAAAGGATTAAGTAGTAGGCGTAACCATATATTTTATTCAGTGGGGATTATTTAGCGTGTTGCCATCCATGTTAAATTCTTAATGGTACCTATGAATCTAGTTTTTCTCCAATGCTTCAATTACTTATTTATTTATTTTTTTGGTAGATCATCGACTATAGATGAATGAGAGATTCACTTATATATAATACGACCCACTTGCATTAATGGTGGTTAATTTACGAATGAGAAACATTAAAAAAAATGTATTGGATTGGGCATCATTTCATAACCTATCAAAATCAACTTCCTCTCGATATATTGTAATATTATCTATTTTCAATAAGATTGAAAAAAATTCTTTCAAATTCACCAAATTAATTAGGAGTAAAAAAATTTGGTCAATTCTTCAAAGCCTCTACAATTTTCACTCAATTTCATTAAATAATCACTCAAGTATAACTATTCTATCATGCCTCTACAAAGTTCAAAAAGATAACAAAAACAAGAGAGGGAGAGAGAGGGAGAGAAGATCTTTCTTCATAGCTTCAGACTCTATACATGTATAGTCTGTGTAGATTGTATTTTCTTCCCATTAAACTATGATTGTGAAAAAAAAAAGTCAACTTTTTGTGAAATTTTACTTAAATCTTTAAATTTTGGTTTTGTAGAAATCAATAATTTCTGGATGAAACCAATCCATAATATTATTTTGAATGGTTAATGGTGCATGCATTTAGCATAATAGTCGAGGGATAAAGTAAGATTAAGAGCAAAATCTAACAGTATAAAATTCTATTCTAAAAACTTGAGGTCTCGTGTCGAATTGTTTGGGCATAAAGTATAATATTGGGAAGTTGAGAGAATGACCCCTTGGACCATGATGTAGTCCGTCTTCTCATGTGTGTTATGTACAGACTTAAAAAAAAAATGGAACTTTTTAATCTCTCTTTTTCAAGTTTTGAGGTAAGACCAAAGAGTTAGGATCGTTTAATATCCTGGAGTGAAGCTTAGGCATCAGAATCAAAATTGGCAACATTTGATAAAGATGATCACACAGAGAGAGAGAGAGAGAGAGAGAGAGAGAGAGAGAGAATGTTATATGCTAAGTAGCTTTCATTTGAAAATATGAAAATACCAATTAAATTTTTTAGATGGTGAATTACTCTTTTGGTTATGTTGTGCATTGTACAACAACAACAAAGCAAAAATTTAATTCAGATGAAAAGCCTGAAATTTAATCTAAGAAAAAAAAATATACAATTCATAATAATCAAGTGATAGAGAATTAATTAGGAAATCAGTTTTGATTGCAAGATTTCCAAAATATTCAGTTAGAAGATAACATGTTTTCTATGCTATAAATATTAGCGTTTTAGCCACATGGTGCACAATAGTTACCATTCTTTTTTCTTTCGAACCCTTCATTCACCATCTTTTCTCTTTAATTCATTGTTCAAAAGTTAGAACACTAATTGTATAAACTCTCCCTATATACCTCAACCTCACCTCACTTCATCTAAACTCACATCATGCATCCTTAACTTTCGCTTTAAGAATGTCAATATTATTTGTCCTATTATTTATTAGATGTTGGACTATGTCACATTTTATTACATTGGTTGGTTTAGGACTATGTTTGGATAGATCCAATACACTTCATAACATTGTGAAAATTCATTTTTTTTGTGCCCATCATAGTACAACCATAGCCATTCCAACCCACAAAGTAAATAGACTGGATAAGCCGAAACTTTCTGTCGACATAAGCAACATCGAGTAAGACAAATGTCATAAAATGCAAGTACAGTAACCCTACAAAAATAGAAATTCCATATCCCATTTTCTAGAGTGATGCGGCTCCTAATTTCTTTCATTTTAAACCCACTTGCCATTCCTATCATAGTACTACCAAAAATGTAATTGTCGCATGATCCTTTGTGTCGAATTCTTGTTAAAATATGTATGTGTGAATTATTTTTCATACAGGAGAGAAACACTCCCTAAAAGGTCCCTTTTTTATGTAAAGTTTTTTCTTACTTTATGACCTATACTTTGTAGGGTATGTTCTCATAAGCAATCTTTTTAAGCCATCAAGAATTTAGATTGAGTAGGAAAGATGTTACAAAATACAAGCACAACAACACCACAAAATCAAAAATTTCATAGAATTTTCCTAAATTGAAGTGCGTTACTAATTATTTTTTTTTTCATTTCAAAATCAAATAATGTTAATGTCCAAGTATTTACAAAAATGTCAGCGTCATATCATTATGCGTGAGAACTTTTGTTAAAAGCTTTGTTTGTGAGACAATTTATATGCAAGTGTTAGATTATATTTGTAATTAGCTAATTTCATGGAGTCCATTGTAAAATTTCAATCTACGCCATGGTTATAATGCTATCAAGTTCAAGATCCAAAAGCATCATTGAATGAAGGAGATAAAACATCAAAACAACATCATTCAACCCCCATATACAACTTCACGCTTAGAACAAAGGTAATGACATAAACACCTAAGATAAACCCTTACTTAATTTTAACTTAGGTTAATTAGGATAAAAATTGAATTGGAAGCAATCCAATTATGACACCTAAATGATTTTAAAAGAAATTTGTTTTTAAGCCATTGATGAGGTTTAAAAACATGATTTGAGTTACAATCAGACCCCTCTTTGAACAACACCTTTTAGTGTTTAAGAAGACAAGTTTTTGCATGATTTTATACTTAAAAACATATAGGGTCCAATCTGTACTTGCTGNACACCTTTTAGTGTTCAAGAAGACAAGTTTTTGCATGATTTTATACTTAAAAACATATAGGGTCCAATCTGTACTCGCTAGTCTTCTCTGGAGCGGTCTATTTATGACATAGGAAAGGAAACAGGAAAAGGCCACGAAAGGCAGTATAGGATTAGCTTTATGAGCTCACTCTGGCGAGACTGCACACACCAATAGGTTTGTTCAACCAACAAGTTCTTCAACACCAATTTGTGAGGCNTCTTGACAAGTGATAAGCTTTAATCTGGATTCGGAGCCTATAAAACAACAGCTATCGTGATAAAAACTTTGCATTTATTTATCTTATCAATTAAATACATTTTACACCAATCCATGCTAAATGTATGAAGTACATTTGAAGCCTTCACCAATTTAATAGGAAAAAACTGAAGAAGAGCATGAATCTATGACCTCATCAACCATAGATATTCAAGAACGACTCATGCTAGCAAAGAGGGACATGTAAAGGCACAAGATTAAATTTGGAGAAGTGTTACCTTAAGCTTAATACTTGCATTACATACCAATGTATCATGAGGAAGGGCATGCAACTAAGTCAACAACAAAGAAGTTGCAAGAATTACCTAAACAAGATGTCAAAGGAAAGAAAGTGGTTCAAAAGCAGCAGATAAATGGTCAAAGAATAGACTTCAAGCAGAAAAGAGGAGGGATTAAAAACAATGAAGGCCAGGATTTAAAGAACAATGGTGCTGAATTGATACGGAGGGATTCAGCAGCACCAGCTGCAAATTTTCAGAAGGGGAATGACTCAGGGAAAGATGATAACAATTTTGGACAAATGATCCAGAAGATAAGGGGAAAGGAATTGTACAAGCCCAGTGGTTATGGAGGATGGTGGGGATAAGAATGCAAATCAAACCCAATAGGAAACAAATGTTATGGATACCCGAGCCCAGAGAAGGAAAATAATGGACTAAAGCGAGGAGTTCATTGGCCATACATACTTGAGATTTTTTTTTTTTTTTTGGGGGGGGGGGAGGTTAACCTCTTTCTTGACCCATGCCGGTGTGTCACTTGGTTAGCATGATAAAGTTTTTGAGGATCTCAACCAGTGTGTTCTGAACAAACAGTTCTCCCCTTATTTGGACTGTTCTTTTTTGATTGACCATCAATTCACTAATACGGAAGGGAGAGGAATCACATTTGATGATGATAGATGACTGATAAGTATTAAGGAACCTCCTGGTCAAGGTTTTTATTCTGACAATGAAAGCTCTAAGGGCATTGAATGTACTGAGGGGGATTCTGATGATTCGGCAATGAAGGATAGGAATGAAGCTGAATTGATACCCTCTGATTTGAATTCCCCAGAGTTTAGTACCTAGATCTAAATCCAGAGGTATACCATCTCCCAGTCCAACTTTAAATAATTAATATTATCTTGTGGAATGTGAGGGAAGCAGGTAAAGCTGTTTGAGAAGAAGGCTTAAGAAGATTATTAGAATGAAGGATGTTTGTTTTATTTCAGTTCTAGAGCCAAAGCTAAGTTCGGCTAAATTGCCAGGATTCGCTTCAAGTTTAAATTTGAATTTCTATGTTGCTTACAATTTAGCAGATAAAAATATCTAGATTCTCTGGGATCATAGAATGGATATTAAGGTTGTTAAGTTGAGAGAATTAACATAATATTACAGAAAGACATAGAGTGGTCAAAAACATAACCTATCTCTCACAAACCATTTATATTTATAGTTAACTCGTAATTATACAAAAGACGTATATTTACGAGTAGTATTTACATAACACCCTAATATTCTTAGCACTCTCCCTTAAGCTGAACTATATATATCATATAATCCAAACTAGAAACAAATGGCTGTAAGACGTTTACGACTTAATGTTTTGGTAAACATATTTGCAAGTTGATTCTCTAATCTCACAAATGGAGTCGTAATATCTCTGGCTATTATCTTATCTCGAATAAAATGACAATCAACCTCAATATGTTTAGTTCTCTCAAAAAATATTGGATTAGCAGCGATATGAATAACTGTCTGATTGTCACTGAACAACTGTAAAGGAGATTGAACTGAAAAATCAATTTCTTGGAGAAAGTGTAGTAGCCACGTTAACTCACTTGTTGTCTGTACCATTGCTCTATACTTAGCCTCAGCATTGGACCTTGTTATCACGGATTATTTCTTACTCTTCCATGAGACAACGTTATCCCCTAAGAACGTACAATAACCGATGGTTGATCTCTAATCAGAAGGAGAACCGGTCCAATCAACATCTAAAAAATCTTTCACTCTAAGATGTCCATTAGCTCAATATAACAACCTAAGACCAGGAGCACATTTGAGATATCGCAGAATATGAGTAACTGCCTCCTAATGTCATACTCTAAGGCATCCTGTAAACTGACTTACTATACTAACTGTATAGAAAATATCTAGCCGAGTAATAGTGAAATAATTAAACTTTCCAACCAACCAATGATACCGACCCGAATTCTCATCCATCAACAATTTCTAATTCAAATTCATAGAAACATCAATTGGTCTACCACCCAGCAAACTTGCTTCCTCTACTATGTCAAGTTCATATTTCCTCTAAGATAAATAAATACCCTATTTAGATCTAACAACCTCAATACCTAAGAAATACCTGAATTTTTCTAAGTCCGTAGTATAAAATCGGTCTTGCCGGTAGGTTTTTAACTTGATAATCCCTTCAGAATCATTTTCAGTGATCAGAATATCATCTACATAAACCATCAATAGAACATATCCGATATACGTTTGTCGATGAAACACATAATAGTATATCTGACATCGAAAAAGACAAAACTCTAAAACTGTATCTGAAAACTTATCAAACCATGTCATCGGTGACTGCTTCAAACCATACACATATTTCTTTAACTGACATACATGCTTATAGTACTTCCCTGAGCATTAAACTCAGGTGGCTGTTCCATATAGACCTCTTCAACAAAGTCACCATGGAGGAAGGTATTCTTGACATCTAGCTGAAACAAGGGCCAATAAAAATTAGCAGCCAAAGAAATCAATATATGAACAAAAGAGATTTTGGCAACAAAAGAGTCTCCACATAATCAACACTATAGGTCTGATTAAAGCCTTTAGCATCAAGACGAGCTTTGAGATACTTCACAGAATCATTCGGATTAAATTTAACAATATACGCTCAACGACAACCAACAGTTCGTTTTGTCAGGAGGTAAAGGAATAAGATCTCAAGTCCCATTATAATGTAAGATATCCATCTCCACTTCCCTAACTTTCCTCCAATTCGGATCTGACAACACATCCTGTAAATGCTTAAGAATAGAGATAATAGATAACTGAGAGGTAAAAAAAAAAATAAAGACAGAAGACAAGACATCATATGAAACAAAATGAGCAATGGGATGGTTAGAAACACACTAGTGAGTACCTTTTCAAAAAGCAATAAGTGAAGAGTTTAAATTACCTGATATACTAGGATCAGGAGATGGCAAGGAAGACGGTACGAATACCTCAGTCGATAGTCGAGGACGACAAGAGTATACACAAAGTGAAGAAGTAGATAGTAGTACAGTAGGCAACAAAATATCTGACGAAAAGGGAAGAGGCGGTAATATAAAGGACGACCCAAAATCCAAATCCAAAGGCTGAGCAAATGTCGGAAAATCCAGAACAGATTCATCAAAAGTGACATCAACACTAGTGAAGTACCGATGAAGGAAAAGACTATAGCAGCGATACCTCTTCTGTGTGCAGGAGTATCCGAGAAAGACACATTTGGTAGCATGAGGGTCAAGTTTATCAAACCCAAGGCCCAAATTGTGAACATAACAGACACACCCAAAAACCTTAAGACTTAAGAAAAATAAGAGCTTCTCAGAAAAAATAGCAGAATATGGACTTTGCCTATTTAACACAAAAGATGACATATGATTAATAAGATGACAAGTAGTGACAATATCACTCCAAAAATAACAGGAAATATTCATCTGAAATAACAGTGCACGAGTGACTTTCAACAAATGAAGGTTCTTGTGCTTAGCCACACCATTATTCGGAGAGGTGTAAGAATATAAAGTCTAATGAATAATGTCAATTTTAATAACATAAGCTGAAAAGGGATCAAATTGATATTTTCGAGTATTATCAAAACATAAAATACGAATACGACAACTATACTGGATTTTTATTTCCTTACTAAATGTCTTAAATATAGAGAATAATTCAGAACAAGTTTTCATATGAAACAACTAGGTTGCATGAGAATAATCATCTAAAAATGACACAAAATAAGGATATTTATTAGACCTCATACATCAGAATGTACTAACTCTAATGGACTAGACACACGATTATTGACTCCAGACTGAAAGGACACACGGTGATGCTCACTAAGTTGACAAGTTTCACAAGACACAAACGATATATAACTAAGACTTGGAACATATAGTTTCAGATTTTAGAGAGAGGGATGTCCAAGATGACAATGCTATTAAAAAGGGGACGACGAGGTCTATAGAGCTCGAGTGGGTAAATCAAAGTCAAAGTAATAGAGCCCACCAGCTTCATGCCCTGTATCATCTTCCTCTTCGTCTTGAGATCTTGAAGGACAAATAACACAGAGGATGGGGACATGTCAAGAATCAAGTGAGTAGTCCCTAAACCTGAAACTTTAGAGCAAGTACCATTAGCAAGTGTAATACTTTGTGTAGAAGTAGCAGACTAATAAGTGGAAAAGACACCATACACACCAATTATATGGTTAGAAGCGCCAGAGTCTATGATCTAGGGACTACGAGCGGAGGACAATAAACCAGTATAGGTGATACCTGACTGGGCAAAAGTAGAAGTGGAGGAAGATAGAACAACTTGTTGTTGGGACTGGAACTGAGCATACTAGAGTAACTGACCTAGAGTCAGGTGGAGCTGACCGAGGTATAGAAGCAACAATTGAGGTGTCATCCTGATATGAAACCTGATTAACAGCACTAGAATGTTTGCCATGTAAATCCCAATAAAAATCAACAGTATGCGCTCCACAACCACTGTGAATACCGGAACGAGATCTAGTACTGCCCCTTCGACTGCGAGTATAGCCTCTAGTACGACCTCCCCGACCTCCATGACCACCACAATTACCACGTCCACCTCCAAGTACATTACTGTGGCCAATAGGAACAACAAGAGCTTAGTGGTCAGTGGAAACACCATGGTCAATGCCTGAAGAGTTAGTAGACAAAGTAGCACGATATAAACGAGAGAAAATCTCAAGTAGAGAGAAAAGACTGGAGCCACAAAAAATTTGAGAGCAAATAGCCTCATATTCAGGTTTCAAATCCACTAGAAACCGAACAACATTCAAACCCTCATATTGCTTCTACCAAACTGCTGCATCAGTAGTGAACGGATGGTAGAACTTCAATTCCTCACAAACTCGTCGAACATGAGAGTAAGCAAAAATATTATTTGTACACCGCATAAGCACAGGTAAAATTACTTGTGCCATAATACATAGTAGTCAAGTGATCCTATATGTCTTTGGCAGTGTCAAGATAAAGCAGGATAGAGCCAATAGTGGGCTTAATGCTATTTAATAGTAAAAAAATAATCTGAAAATCCTCTTGTTCTCACTGATTATACCCAGAAGTATCTTCCTTGGGTTTAGGAGTCACCAAATATTTTTTAAAACATTTACTTCTAAGAAATACTTGAATTGAGTGTGACCATAATATATAATTTGTCCCATTAAACTTAACGGAAGTCATGAGACCAGTAAGGAGAATTGCGGGAGAAGAGGTTGGTGGCAACGATAGAGTAAGGGAGGAAGAGGCGTCTTACTTGGGTTCCATAAAAGTATAACAATAGTAAAAGTGAG